CCTGAAACAGATATTTGTGTAAGGTAAAAAGTTGTTTTTCGTGATCAGCAACTCTCACTCTATCAAATGACGTAAAAAAAAACGGCAAAAAAAATTCTTACTTGAAGTTTGAATTGCCTGCACCTTATATGGAAAGACATTCACTACAAGCAAAAAATGTAATATAAACGTACACTCCTTTTGTTATACTTCGTAAAATATCGTACACACTAGAAGAGTTTCACAAAAGCTTGTCAGCGTAGAGCTAAAAGTCTGAATGTGAAACTCCTGCCATTGAACGTCTCATTAAACTTTTTTGCACGTTTTTCTATGTCACGTTTGTGGGCAAACACTTTGTCGAGTGTGTGGGGCACCACTTCGTTGCGCTTGGCTAAATCACTTCGTCAGGTTCATACATAATCTTTAGAGGTGTGATATCAGACATTGTGTTGTCTATAGACACACCTCTTTTTATATTTCATATAAAATCGTTGATACTAGAGGGGTTTCACAAAAGTTATCGAAATGTCAAAATTTTCTTCGAAATTGGTTAGGCTCAGCCTTACATCACCAAAGGTAAGACTTAAGCCTTACCCAGACTAGTGGTTTCGCTGTCTCCAGCTACAATTAAAAACCCTTTTTGAGGTAAGAGGAATACATTCTAAATTCCGCGCGTCGCAACCACAACACACGCTAACTGGACAGATAAAAACGATAGTTGCGATTTCGTAGTTAACATAAGAAACGAACAAGAACGGAGAGTGTAAATAGATGTGGGATAAATTCTATGCCTCTGCTATCGCTTCCCTGCACCATCGGCAGCAGCTACTAACCCACTCACATTATCTCCTCAAAGCACTGCTCAACTCAGGTCGAACCACCCCTTGATCGATCAAACACATCCTCACAGTGGTTATCGGATAATCCAGTCTTAAGTATTAAAAAAGACTTGGTGCTGAAAACACCGACTTTGAATCGGGTGCCTGCGAGATGATGCGGAGCGTAGATGATCGTGGTTAGTCAGGGAGCGTTCTTGTGTTCTAGCGACGAACCAGTGCTCGATACCGTGCACTACATCTTAAGTCCCATCTAAGAACTTGGTTAATATACAATCCACCGACCAGTTAGTTAATGCATCCTCGAGTTTTCTCTAGGTTTCATTAAATTTACATGGATCACGCGTCTTTTCTAAAAAATGATCTACAAATTCATTACAGATTTACTACAGATTACACTTGCGTCCCAAATTTCTGATGCTTATAAAGAACATATTGATCGATTTATAGCTGACTTTGATAATTTATCGTTTACAAATAACTTCAGTGTCGAAAAGGTGAATGAAATAATTAATAGAGCAATAGCCGACGAAAGTATTAGTCAGATTTCAGTACCATATGTTCAATGTAATGTTTGTCATCAATCATGTGCCAGTAAACATTTACATGAACGTGAAAACTATGAACCGTATGGACGATTATTCAGCGAATCATCGATTGAATCACTATCACTTGAACAAGTCACTGGTTCAGATGTATGGAACTTGAAAGCTGTGGATAAAACATCCGTCTATTTGCCAATGTGGAATGCTTGTAAAAAATGGAATGATTTATCTCATTCAATTCAACAGTTAAAAGAACCAATCCAGATTATTCAAGAATCTAAACGATATTGGACATTGTTTATTGATAAATATGAAAAAGATAAAGTGGAACTGACGAAATTATCACAACAATTAGCAGGGACAACTCCCGTCACTTATTTACAGGATATGGATGAAATACTACAATTAAAATCAATTTTCGATAAATATGATTAAGAAGAAGATCCGAGTGTATTTTTAAAACTACAGAAGAATGCTCAACGAACGATATGTGACAATTATTATTTATTCGATCCGATAACAACAACAAAATATTTGCTTGTCAAAAATGATTTTTCATTTTTCATACAAAATTCGCCATCTGAAGCTGTTACAAATAAATGCTCTGACTGTCAAAAATCATTTTCATTGTTTACACGTCGTCATCACTGTCGTATGTGTGGTCAACAACATTGTTCAGAATGTCTTTTGTACAAAAGAATACCGCATTTAGGTTATATAACAAAACCCGTTCATATCTGTCGTAAATGTTCGGATGAAAAACAAAATTTTATCTATGAACATTTATTTATCTATGTTAAAAAATTAATTAATTCAAATTTAACACGATATTTGAGTGAATATTTAGCGTTGCTTTACCAATATAAAACCGTTGGTAATGAATCATTCTATCGGAAAGCGGTGAACATTTCTATCAATTAGGAAAATATTCGTTAGCACTTCAGTTTTTAACTTATGCACGAATTAACAGTGATATATGGTTTGTATATTCCGTTGACCTTTGTAATAAAAATCAATATTCATATGCATTTACTTGCATGAAATTGTGTCAGAAACCCGATCGATTTTGGATGGAACAAGCTATTCTACAACAGAGTATCATCTATGCTTTACGATGTTACGAACGTGTAAAACTATTAGTTGAACAATTATTTGAATTGGCAAGTAAAAAGTCGTCGGATGATGTTTATTCTATCTGCTATATCTACATGCTATATCTATCGAAATACAGTAGTCAGACGAACTGGAATGATTTAGGTGAAAAAACCCTATTGAAAATGACAGAATAGAACAGTGGTAGTCTTGCCATGTTTTGTTATGATTTACATGATAAACTATCAAATGATGAATGGAATACTATTGGTCAGCAACTGTGTGAAACAAAACAATATAAAAAATTGGCATATTTCTTATCATATTTGTATCGCGTTCAACAGATCGATCTTCGAACATCTTCCAATAACTACATTTTTTTTCCAACCAAAATTTTAGTGTCAAGTAATATGACAGTTCCACTGGATGATTGATTAAATGATATTTTCAAAACATTCGACATTAATCGAATTATTATTGAACTTTCAATTATTCATGTTGACAAATATTCATCGTGGATAGAATATAAAAATGTGTATGTTAAATCAAAACAGTACTATAAAGTTTACTGTATCATAAAATGGCCGAATATATATCTCCTAATAAGAATAACGAAACACAATGGTTTATCAATAGTATTGAAGATTTAGATCCAATAAGTTTCTATACAAATGTTTCGCCAACATATCGGTTAAAACCGATAGTTTCTTATTTAGATCATTTTTAATCATTAAGAGCTAAAAGAACAGATCATAATTTTTAAACTCGCCTGTTTTTAAGTTTAAAATGAGATATCCTTTTTAAACTAATTCTACTCCACTAGTCTTAGGTGCGAATTTTACATATACAATTCTATACAGAATAAGCTCCTTTAAACACTGAGAACGAAATACAAAATTTCGGAGGGGAGTTAAAACCACAAACACGAAAAAAATAAGGTAAATTCTTATTTCCATTGCCATATGTGGGACAAAGATTTGGTTGCAGCAGTCTATATTAACATGAAATTTTGTAGAAATTTGTTTGTATTACCGATCGAGTTTTCTGCAAACATTTTATTGTGCAACCTTAGACAGAAAGAGCTTCCTCAAATGATGCGTTTGAACAACAAACGTAAAAGATCCGTGTATTTTAATCGTCATAGGATAGAACTCTTTAGAGTAAGAAAAAGCGATTGAAACAGACGGGTTTTCGACATCTTTTCATAAAGAATTGTTCGCTTTCTGTCCTATTTTAACAGAAAGTAGGGGTAATTTTAAACCATTTGTTTTGGAACAAAATCTATTTTTGAGACATTTATGTATTCGATAAGATATTAATGGTGCTATGATGTGGACTAATCAATCGTGATGACTGTTGGATTCACTTTTTGTCTTTGTCTCAGCCATGGTAATAGTGTCTTTCTAATAAATCTGACGATAGGTGGTGTGGATACCTGTAGTACTGTCAGCAATCCTCCTACCAGGCCAATAATAGTTGTTACAATGTAAATGGCATTGCTACGTACAGTTTGAATATCACTGTATTGATCTTGGCACATTGAGCATAATATTGGTTATAAGAAACATTCGAGTTTCATTGTTCAACCAACAACTCTTTCAACATATCATCAGTTTTAGATAGTTTAGTGAATCTGCTTGTTATAGATGGGTCCAATGCTATTACGTTGTATGTCTCATTGTAATATGTCATGTACGACTTTAAGAGATCAATATTTGTTTGATTATAGAAGAATGATAGGCTAGACTGTAAGAGAGATTCAATAACAGAGCAGCCCGTCTTGAAACCAGACACCTAAAATTAAAGCTATTCCACCACAAAATACTCAACAGCAGTTCCTGTACACTGATGAAGACTAACTGGGCATCAGCCTTAGGCCAGTAACATTCAGAGTTTTAACTGAAAAGAGTTTGATACAAAGAATAACATACTGAGCAGACTGACACCAACAGGCATTTTATTTATTCTGAAATAAAAGGGAGATCTTTCGATTTCGTTATACCAACATCATCGACAGCAATCGATAACGTTGAAAAAAATCATGATACATCTATCTAAAACATAAACAGGAATAAAAAGTTCAAAAACGAGACTACACAGTATTGAAAAACATACCTTGATGAATAACCAGCCGCCATTATTCGAACTGTTTCTAACACGTCACATGCTCGTAATTGTTGTACGGCATGTCGACATAAAAAATGGACAATATACAGAATGTGAATGAGTAACTCACGTAAATGGTGCGTGGCTCTCATTTGGCCTAATACATCTTACGTAATGTGGTACTGTTGAATTTAGTGCCCACATTAAATTTGT